CGTTCCCGGCTCGCCTCCAACGTCTGGTTACCGAAGTAACTGTTTTGATTTCTTGTCTAACCTACCCACGTTGGGATTTGATCTTAGGTAGACGAAATCAATCAGTCACTGGGCCGTAATGCAAGTCGAGTCCGAACAAGTGTGATATCGCACAATATATGTAAAAGAAAATAAAGTAATAACTCGAAAAGTTCAAATGTGTTAAAAAAGGATAACAATATTTTATATCTGGTTTCTGAATACAGGACTGCGTCTTCTTCCCAACCGTTATATGGATTCGTGACACTTTGTGTTTGTTAGGCGAGTCTTAATATCTTAAGTTGTTTGTTCTTTAAGAAACTGCTTCTTGGTGTATCTTCAGGCGATATTCATAAAACTTGTTTCGGTGGTGTGAGTCTAAGTCGTTCTTCAAAATTAAATTGTTCTTGGTTAGTAGTTGAGGTCGTGATTTGCGTGGAATCTTTCAGTCAGGTTCCTGCGAGGCGGGCCCAACTCAATTCAACTCAGCTGCGAACTGCGAACAACTGCGAATTTAACCGAACTGAACTTAATTGGAACTCAACTGATTTTCACTCGCTGCGTCTCTACTTATATGGACACCGACCAAAACCGGGGTGGGCTTGTCGGGGTTTGAGGTCCCTTGATAATTCTAAATCCACAATCCACTTCTTTGTTTTCGGCCAGGAAAATTTATTATTTTCCATTTTTGGAAGTCTTTCGTCCTACCACCTTCTTCTGTTCTCATATTGGTATCTCACCATACCCTCAGAGGGTGTCAACGGGTTTCCCCTCTCTCTCACAGTGGCATCTCATACCGATCCCCTCAGGGGGTGTCAACAGTCCTCCCCTCCTACTTCACATGATTACCTTCGCCTAACGCTCACGCCAGCATTCAGCCAATGGGCGCCCAGCAGTGTGGGTGTGGCTACACTAGCCTCGGTTTAAAAAATCTTGCTCAAAGAAAAAAAAAATCATCTTCGTTTTTTTTTCTTTTCTTTCTCTTTCTTCTTTCCGACAACAAGTTCTTTAGACTCGTAGTGTGGTCTCTTAATCTCAATTTTATGTCACCTGGAATTCGTCACTCGGGACATTCGTCAAACAAGTGGCTGGCCATCCGGCGAGATCCACTTTCTAGCGTTAATTAT